ATCCAAATTAGGGGAAACTAGGTGGTTTTTTTTGGTTAAGAAAAGAAATAAAAAAGGAAAATAGTCATCCTAATATGAGATTCAACTTAGGAGAAACTAGACGGTTTTTTATTAAGAACAAAATTAAAAAGATAAATAGTCCCCAAAATTCAAACCGAGAGAGACTTAAACTTGGGTGGTTATTATATATATATATATATATGTCAGTGTAACTATTTCATCCCAGCTAGATCTTAATGTGTGAACAGAGGATTGATCTAGCTAGCTATCTGCTGTGGATATAAATAAATAAACATATTCAATGATCATGCGCAGATCTCAAACCTGTAGACAACTAGGCTTTATCTGCTCTCGGATCGATTTCTTGATCGCTGCCAACTTTTTTATAGGGTTTTGCTTCTTTTCTAATGGAAATGTTTTTATTTGGCGCTTCTCACCTGCGTGCTACTACCTTTCTTCAGGGTTTTTGCTAACCTTGAGATGCGGTCAGCAGATATTACCTGCTTCGTTGGTTTTATGATTTACCTGCATCGATCTCGTCATGATTAGCGGCGCCTGATCACCAAATTCGCCATAGACTAATCGATCGTACCATACCCTTTTCGTCAGGTAGCCATTATTCATCATCAACTATCCGGAGAAGAAAAGGAAAGGATTATTTAGCCAATGATGGACGTGCTAATTGCGCCTCTTCACACGATCGAGCTGTTTCGTCGTCACCACTCACCAGTCTCCAACTTCGTGTGACACTGTGACAGATAGTAGTACAATCGAGCCGGCAGCCGGCAGGCAGTGAACAAACTCCTCGTGAGAGTTCATGACAAAAATACAAATACAAATAGCATAGGTCCATTCAGTACTTTTTACGTGCACAAGGGCCACCATGACAGATAGTAGATGTATATATGTTTCGTAGCCACTCTTATACATCGGTCCTGACAAACACAGCCGCTGTGTTTTTGGTGTGTATTTGTCCCCAGTTATACTGCCCAAGTGCATGGATCCATTGTGATGATCTTTTCTGTTTTGTTTTCTGCCAAGAGTATGTTATTATCATTCCCATGATCCTAATATGCGTCCAATAATCCAGTGATGGCCGGCGTCAGAAGAGACTGAACCTTTGACCACGCTGAGTTCAGCTCAAGAAGAAACACGTCATCCATCCAAGCTGCAGCTAGCGCATTCTCTCTGACGATGATCTCCATCAGTCTCTGGTCCTTTTTAGAATGACGATGATGGACCATATGAGCATTCCACAAATAATACAACGCACATGCTGACATGCAGCACTGTGCCTGCACATATCGCCCATCAGCAGCTCACGTTTCGACGCATGTTACGTCGCCTGAGCACGTGTTCAGTTCCACCTCAAAATCGCCCATCAGCATCTCGTGTTAAATATGTACGAAAAAACTAATTGTTACGTTTTGCCTGAATTATAAAAACGGACGTCTTCACAATGACTTCCCTTCCTACAACTAAACACGGCCTGAAAAAAAAAAAAAAGAATTATTGGACTGCAGAGCACGAGCAGGCTGCCTAGACAGGAGACACGAGACAGGCAACCAAACAATGCAGAACTGCTCACTCCTGCCGTCCTGAATAAACAGTATCACGGTTATGCGCGTTGCAATCATCCAACGCAGTGAAGATTACAAGAATGCCCAACGCTACGCCAATGGACTGCAGGCTGCAGCCATCCAGTGGCACTGTGGCAGTGCCATGGGTGCATCATATCATTTTCCAGATCTTCACTTCACAGGCGAAAGGACATGCCATCTGCTTCTTACTTGTGCAGAGGGAGGTCAGCACCTTTCGTTCTGCGATCCGTTTTGCATGGAGATTGCAATCTACAAATATGTGCCTTTTCTGACTTTGCCATGGCCTGCCTTTTGCTTTGCTTGTGGTTGTGGGCGAGATCAGATCAGTGAGCTAACCGAGCAACGAGATGGGGTTTGGTAAATTGGTTGGAGAGAGCTCGATCGAACGATCGCCATAGGAGATGGACATGGACATGGACCTCGCACCTAACTAACTGGGACCCGTGCATGAACGGCATCAGGTGTCAGTCTCAGCTAATTAAGGGAGGTCAGTATAGCACACATGCTGGACTATCTGATAGAGGCATCCAATCAACATCGATCCAGGACAAGCAAAATATAATGTACACGCAGTTGCAAAATATACTGGTAGCTTATACAAATGGTTGTGGGACTATCAACATAAGAACAGAGCATTGGACGACCTTATCTCTTTGAAGAAAACAGAAGCAATCCAATTAACCTAGTATCATGCACTAATAATTTTAGACCAAATCTAGGAGTTGGTATGACAAATTCTCTATTCTGTCAAAGAGAGAGAGAGAGAGGAGAGGAGGAGGAGGCAAGACTCTACAACGATAGCATCCCTTAATTCGTTGATTCTTTTACTTGCATATGGAAAGATCGAGAACGATCACGAGAAATAATATGGAAATGGTTCAGCCAAAAAGTATCAATGAATTGACTAGCTCGCTTGGAGACCATGGGATTAGAAAAATAATAAGAATAGAAAGCTCTGAGGAAAACAGAAGCAACCCAATTAACTTATCATGTGATGAGTTATAGACCAAACCTAGGAGTTGGTTGTGAGACCCAGCTCATGGGCTGAACCGCGGTTGGGCTAGCAGCAGCGATGAATTTGGATGAGATGAATTCTGGTACTGTAGCACCGACATTAGCTGTGGAAAACACTGTGCACCCATATTTTATTACCATACCGTGAACTCTGAGTTCGCCGAACCAGCTTAAATAGTCAAGCGAATGACGTGTAGTAACCTTCGGTTAATCGTTTTGTGCGAAACGAGAACAAAAGCGCAAGCGGTTTGCTATGTAGGTGGGGCCCACCCCTAGGTAGAGTGGGCCTGTACCGTGTGCCAGGCCTGGGTGTTACATTGGTATGACTACTTCTCTAATGTCAAAAAAAGAAGAGAGAGAGAAAGCTAGAGTCTACAACACTAGCATCCCTTCTTAATTCGCTGATCCTATTAATATAAACAACAAAACAATCATCCAAATACATTTAGGGTCCGTTTGATCCCTGAAATTGAATTTATTTTAATAATTATATTTTAGACATAAATTAATTAAACTAATATAGTTGTATATGTAATATATTTGTATATTTATTGTTAGGCACACAAGAGACATACTTATATGTTGCATTTCTATTGAAATGAAGTAAGTTGAAGAGTGTGCTATAAGTTGAAGAGTAAAATTATAGCATAGTGATTTATAGAATTCATTTCCATCTCTCACCCTATAAATTTGAGATGAGCTTATTTTTGAGATTGGGAAATGTTATGTAATGTCAAATTCCAAACCAAATAACCTAATCCATTAAGTAGATTTTAATTTCTCCAAAATAAAGAGATCCAAACGGCCCCTTATAGCTGGTGAGAAGTGGATTGCTGCATGATGCAAAACGGCTATGCCTCGAGCCCTTCTATCAGTTTCAATTTCAAATCATCATTCAAAAGTAGGGCAGAGTAATTATATACCTATACCTACTAATGCGACCAAAACCTTTTTTTGGTTATTGGACTAATCCACAAGAGGCAGGCAGGGGACCAAACCCAGGGCCTGGTCTTGTCTTGTTCTCCATGCTGGCCATGCCTAGCTTTCCAGTGGCTACTACCAAATCCTCTGCACTGCGACCTCATTATCGAAGTAAATGTGCCGGGACCGGGAACGAAGCAGTTATGCGGCACTATCACAACACCGGTGTTCTGTTTTCTAGAGAGAAGAGAATGGGATAAGGGCTAGATGCTTTGACCCGTTCGCTTCGCTGAAAAAACGAGCCGAAACACTATTCTGGCTGATTTGTTGTGAGAAAAAATACTGTTCTGGTTGAAAAAATAAGTTGAAAAATACGGATTATAAGAGAAACGAACAGATCCAAGTGAAAAGGATGTTTTCCATAGGCGATAGCCGGGTAAGTCTCATCTGGGGCGCTCCACACAAGTGAAACTCTTTTTGCAGGAGAGTTTGGGAGATTAATCATGCCTGCAGTAGAACTTATGAATCCAAATGAGGCCATGTTTGGATACTGTGTTGGAGTGGTTAGGTGTAGTCCAACACACATGGATTAAAGGTCGATACATGGGTATCAAAAAGCCCTAAAAGAATAAGAATCGATTGAGAAAGAAAGGTCCCAGGTACTATTTGGATTCAAAGTATTTTTTTAAGTATCAGAGAAATACAATGATTTTACAAAATACTTTGGTTTTCAAAAGCTAATGGATGTTTGATACAACAATATGGTTTTGTCAAAGCTATAGTTTTTCTCGAGTTTTTTAGAAACTCCACTCATTACCTCTTTTTTTCTAAACCACATTTAAGTCTCTTTGGCTTATAAAACCAGAGTTATGTATAATACTACAGTTTTTTAAAACTGCATCATTGGATTTACTGAAAAGGAAAATTGGATAGGCACCGTTGGGGGAGAAATCCCCCCAAATGGATGGCAACAACCCATACCGAAATGCCCGACAGACATACCGTGTTAAATGGCATAACTAATTGTACAATCTATACTTGTTTAAATGAGATGAATTGGTGAAGTTATGCCTAAGCTTTGTAGAGTTTTTTTTTAACTCTCCATTTCAGATTATAAGACATTTTGCAATGCATCTTTAAAAGACAAAACGTATTATAATTTGGACAGGGAGTACTACTTAAAAAAGAACACGGGTTACTCAGTGCTGAAAAAGAATACTCTTCAAACGTTCTTGGTTTAATAGTACCGTTCTTAGTTTAATAGTACCTACCTATTTTTTGCGGAAAAACCATTATATTTAGTGTCAAAGTTCAACTAGACAAATATTGAATTTGGTGTTGATTGAAACATAACACTGAACAGATGCAAGCCATCAGTTTTCACGTTTCACCATCGTAATATGGTCTATCGACAGAAGTACTGGACTGAGGTGCACAACGTGCGGCAGAACTACATTCACTGCCTCAATTGAAGCTAGGGCAGATAGGTCCCTTGGACAAACCAAGGCGAACCTCCATTCCGTGGTGCATGTCAGGTTGACGGAAACTGTCAGAATCTTGAGGCACTGCAAGCCAACAGAAAAAGAAAATTAGCACAGCTCAAAGACAATTGGCAATAGGACGAACCCACAGATAGTACAAAGGGGGAAAATGTTCAGTGCTGTACTTTAATTGTAAAAATGTCTGATCAACAAATACATAGATAAAATATTCAGCGGTAAGCAGCAATGACCACAATGAAACATTTTATCATTTATCAGAGATATTGATCCTAAGAAAGTTATTGTAGCTATGAGAGACAAGCTCAGATCAGGCTGTCACAAAGCATATAACACTTTTTCTAGTACATACTCCTGATTTTCTATCTATAGTACATTAATAAATCAAGTAAAACAATAGCCAACAATCATGTAACTTGAATACTCTTGAACTGATCACCTCTCCAACTTAAATTACTTATAACCTCTCCAAGACACAAAGTTCATCCAACAACTATATAATTGGTTTGGTAAATTTTCATACTCTTGATTTACAGGAACTCCTAACTTTGAATTAAGCCAGATAAATCCCATTAGTATTACTTCAAAGGGTCTTTGAAGTAAAACAGAATTACTGCTAACTGTAGAAGGTTAAGATGATTAAAATAGGCAGCACTCTCTGGCTAAGAATATTAAGGTGGTCATAAACTATTGCGAAATGTTTATACATGTGATAGAGAAGGAAAATAACTTATTGATAACAAATGACAGAATATATTACTGTTAAGATAATCTTCAAATCCAAAATCATCCAGGGAACCTGTCAGTGCCTCATATCCAAGCAGGATGATGGCAAAGCACCAGGGGGCCTCTGGAACCTGGCATCATATCCATCATCAAAGGCATCAAGAGAGCAAACTGCTAATCACCAAGAAAACAATTTAAACTAATAATGTATTAAGTTGTCGAAGGATAAAGATAAACAAAATAGAAGGCACACTCCTATTTCTTTAGTTGCCTCCCACTTTTGTCTGCTCACAATTGGTGTGAGAACTTAGGAGGACCAGATGAACACGAACAATTGGAACATATGATTGCACATTGAAGCAGAGAAAGGTCTAGATATTCTAAGACGTAATTTATAGTGAATACCAACCAAAAGTTGTCCCAGCAATGTGCACATTTTATCTGCAAGAAAGTGGCACTTACGATACTAAGACTTAACAGAAATCCTCACACACACAAAACTTCAACAACAATAGAATAAAACAGGTTTTTGATCCAGATGCAACTGACTGTAGATGTAACCAAGCATGCAGGAAACCATAAGCTGTGAATTACAAGCAGCAGTAAACAAAATAACACAAATAAACTGTTACCACCATGAAGTTTCAAGTTTCAAAACTGACAGACATGGTATCAAAGATACTACAATAGTCAAATATCAAAAGCGTTCCAATAAGACGCTTAAATACACAGGGAATAAAATCTACGTACAATCAATGTTGTAGTAGCAACAAATACACAGCACACTACAACATGGCCATTCAGATTGTAGGTAGGAAAATGGTTAACGACTTTACCAGCAGATGCTGAAACCATGTAAACAATCCTATTGCTAAACAAGGCAATTATACAGAAACACAATTGATTCCTCATCCTTGCAGCATGACCAAAAACTGACGTAAACATTTGACAAAATTTCATGCTTCAGAGGCCTATCGATAGGTATTGCATATGTATATCATGAGGAAGGTAACAAAGTTTCAGGAATTCACCCAAACTTCCCTCGGCACTGTCAATTACAGCAGCCAGATGGGCTTTTTTTATACTCCCATCAACCACTAACTACTCCTAACTCGAATTAGAACGAATTGATGGAAGTAAAATTATTTTTTCCAGTGAGAGCTGCAGAGGGAACTGGGGAAGTGAAGGACCTGGAGAGGATTTGGGCATCGAGATCCTTGCGGATGTTCAAGGCGGATCCGTAGATGGCCTCTGTCCCAAACTTCTTCTTGTCCGCCCAGAACTTGGCCTCCTGTGCGGAGCGCGCGCGTCCCCCCAAACATGGATCCCAGGCTCAGCGTTAGGGTTTCGAGGGCACGGACAAAGGGAAACGGAGGAGAGCGACGGGTCCTTACCGATTGGATGGTGGACTGGAGCGGGTGCGGCGGCGCGAGGTCAGCCTTGACGCCGGCGTTGAGGCCGAAGCGGAGAGTGTCGTGGGTCTCGCTGATCTCCCTCTTCATGCTGCCGCTCGCCATCGTCGATGCTCTCCGCCTGCTCCTCTCTCGCGCGCTCAAGAACAAAACCTTCGCTTCTTTCTTTGCGTGGAAAAAAGGAAACGGCGGCGCTTTGGGCTTATAGGTCCCTGCCCTCTTTTAGTCGTTTTGTTGGGCCGGCCCAACTGCGATCTGCCTATCCAGCTCGGAATATAGCCGTTTTTCTAGTTCCACTCGAAATTGCATCCCAAAACAAAATATGTCCCGGACTGATAAACATATATATATATATAAATATATATATATATATAGTAACAGGGAAAAGTCATAAAATTAAATATTAACAAAAAATAGTCAATTAGGATATAAAACATGTATCAATAGATTGTGTATTTAAAGTACCTCTAGAATTCCTTAATGCTTAGCAAATGACAATATATATTTTATGACTTTACTTGTCAAAATGGAATTATCATTCTAGGACAGAGGGAGTAGAAAAGCAATTGTAAGATATATATCAGACACGATCGGAAAGAACACATATTAAACAAGAATGTTAATTTTGAATGACTCTCGACTGCTAACCGATAATGCTACAAACAGGACGTCGAACAACAACGACTCGCTCCAGACGGATGCGTAGCGTGACGTGCACCACAAATTTAACTCCTTCATCTCTTATTCTCATCCGGACACTGCTGGCTCACTCCGCTCGGTCTTCTCCCCACCGCGTCCTTATCCTGTGCCGCTCGCTCGCTCCTCGCTCCCGCTCCACTGCGCGCCCCACTAGCGCCGCTCGCTCCTCACCCCCGCCCATTGCATGCCCCACCCGTACCTTGCTTCGGCCGTGCGCCGCGCCGCTTGCCAGGCTGAGTTAAGGCCGGTGCTAGTGGCGCTGGCGGTGGTGGTGGTGCTTGTGCACGCCACTGGTGCTCGGTACGGGTGGTGCTCGTGCACCGCCGCTCGCCGCCAGACAGATCCCGACGGATGGAATTGACCGGCCCAGGCTTTCCCTCCCCTATGTTGCAAATGTATGTTTCAGGTGTTTCAGTCATTTCAAAGGTATGTTGCAGTTGTTTCATATGGATGTTGCAAAAGTAGATCGGTGATGTTGCACATGTTGCAAGTGTTTCAGAGGCATGTTGCAAAGCGTTTGTTCAAAATGTTTCATCTGTTCCAGACGTATATTGCAAGCGTTTTGATCTAGATGTTTGCATATGTTTCACACATATGTTGCAACAACAAGTTTTGTATGTTTCACTTGTTTCAGACGTATGTTGTAAGTGTTCTATCTGGATGTTGTATATGTTACAATGACTATGTTGCAAGTATATGTTTCAAATATTCATACGTTTCAATCGTATGTTGCAATTTTTCATCCGAGTGGAAGTAGATCTTAATGTATGGTTGTTTAGTGAGGAAGAGAGAGAGTGCGGGGAGCCATGGCGGCATCGGCTGTAAGCTGACAGCAAGCATCCGCGCTGACGCACACGGCCCATTCCCATATGACATGCTGCCTCCGCTGGCCCTACCGGAGTTCCTTGAGCAGAAGCTTGTGGCATCTCCCCACACGACGGAGATGCAGAACCTGACAATGGAAGTGACGCGGGCACGACGAGGTTGATGCCCCCTGTGGGTGCAGCGAGTGGGCTGGCTCCCCTGTTACACGGGCTCAACGTGCGCTCTGTTACGCGGAAGACTGGACAGGGTGCGGTGGAGCTGCGTCCCGATGCGGGCCTAGGGCCGCACGTCCGGGCGCTAGTTATTACCACACGTTCGATAGTATATTATACCATGCGATATGATTTACGTGAATCACAAAGACAAAGACAGTCTATAATCTCTATTGGTTACATTACAACACCGTGCAATGACACTATGATAGACTACTGTTGTTGTTTCGTGAGGATGCAAGGTTGCCATAATGCTATCGACTCCATACATCTCGCGTTCCATGTCATGTCAGTAATCGAGGATAAGTTCTGCAGCCGCAAAGCTCAAAATCATGAAGCTGAAGATCCATCCCGTCTGTATTCTGGAATCAGTCTTGTTGATGAACCCCTTCTATTTCTTCAGTAGGCAATCCTTGAACCCCTTCTCCAGCTCTTCTTTATTGAGGTTCCTGCCGATGAAGACAATCTTGTTGATGCGAGGCTCATTTGGCTCCCACATCCTCTCAGGAGATCCCTGGAAAATGTCATGCACTCCCTGGCCATGCAAAAACAAACAAGCAATTCAGGTTCATTCGGCTTATCAATGCCAGTCTGAGAAAGTTTGGTATAATGTTAAAATATCCGTCCAAGTCAAATGGTAACACTTAGTAGTAAATTTAAAGAATTAAGATAATCTGCTAAGCACATGAAGATATACAAGGGAAGGTGCTCAGGACAGGTGCAGAGTTGCAGACACTAGCAAGACTGAATGTAGTGATGGAAGATAATAGAAATAGCATGCAGGATCATCAAAGGAAGAAAAAAAAAATGTTTTCCTTCCAAATTTAAATTTGATCCTTCCTACCAACAATAATACATCTAAATTTGATACGTTATGCTTATGCATAATGCCTTTTCACGTTACTAAATACACATAAATTGATTTTAGTGTGGTAGATGCCACAACTGTTGGTGTATTACACCATAACAAGATAAAATTGTGGCATTAGTTAACCCAAACCTGAAAGACAAATCGCTGTGGCATTCCACTGACAGAAAGTAGTCCTTTCATCCTGTATATATCCTCACTGTGTTCCAGCAGTAGGTTCCCCAACCAAAAGTCAGCCTGCATGAGTGCATTTCAAATTGCCATCAATATAATATAAGTAACTCCATATCCAACACTACAAAAGGATTGTGGTATTTAGACGTCTCAATATTCATTTTATCAATTGAGAAATATAGCAAGAGATGAGGAATAGTTCAAGACTGGCCTTTTCAAGATCCATCTCCCCTTCGCAAACAATGCTCACAGAAGAAACACCAGGATCATGAGTGTGATCATGTGCGTGATGATCTACAAAAAAAGGGGGCAGCATAGAGTTTACTTATGTTCATACTTGGAATTTTTAAATCAGTGATAAAAGAGCATTTACATATACAAAATTACAGACAAGACAAGCTTTTCAACTGGGGCATAGATGTACACTTCATAAGATAACCTGTGTCAAAATGTTCTCTTATATTTTTTGCTTAAGTCAATGATGGTTTTGCACATGTCATTCCTAACTGGTGGCACAAATGAGTGATACTACCATGTCAGTCAGGTCATGCCACAATAATGTTCCAACACCAAGGCTTACCATGTCTGTGATCATGATCATGATGGTGATGATGGTCATGGTCATGGTGATGGTCGTGTTCATGCTCATGCTCATGATGATGTTCATGGTCATGTTCTGCGTGGTCTTCATGTGACTTCTCAGCAACAGCACTCTCAATCCTGTAAACAGAATGAATTTCCTTTATCCCCACAGTATTAAATTAGTAACTGTAAGAACTGCCAGAATACAAAATATCATTTTTTTTAAAAAAATAATCCTTAATGAGATTATACTGATTCTATGGCTAAGCGTACGTTAGTTTTAAATAGTTTTGCTCTCCCAATGCTAGCAGCTGAAGACTCCATGTGGCTGCAACTAAGTTCAACTTTAAGCGCAGTGCATCATCTCATTATGCTTCAACAACTCACATTATTTAATTATGATCTGTTTCTATATTAATTCTCTTTCCCCTTCTCTAAAGTAAATGACAGGGACTAGGCTGGAAGGGCACATAGCCCAAAATGATCGTTTAGCGAGGACACAACATGCCAACACATATAACAGTAAAAAATAAGATGAAAGAAAGGAACCTCTCCAGATCAAATCCTCCAATTCCAAGAACATAATCCAAATCAACTTTACCATACTCAGCTCGCTTCAAATTAGCCATGAGATTGATACCCTGTATTCAGAAAAGGAGGATATTACAAAGTACAAACAAACATATGGTAATGAAATAGCACAATGAATATGCAACACTAACCCTTATACGCTCAACCAAGGACAAAACTTCAGGTTCATTGACCAGATCAATCTGCAGTGAAGTAACAGGGGTTAGATCTATATGTGTTTCCAACAAGGACACAAATTACAGAAAACAGTGTACTTAAGTCACTGAACATTGATTAGAGGAGCATAACCTTGTTAACTATAATTCTGTCAGCATAGGCAATTTGCTGAACTGCTTCATTGACTATACCCTTGGGCTTTACTTCATCCAAATGAAGTCTAGCATGCTTTGCATCAACTAAAGTAACAACACCATCCAGCTTGACATCATTAAAAACTACATCCTCTGCATAGAATGTCTGTATAATGGGTGCTGGATTTGCTAGACCTGAAAAAATAGATAGAGAGAAAGGGAGAGCAATTAACATGATTATGCAATCCATGGATAACCAACGTAATCAAACTTTTCATGATTCGCATTGATTTCTGTTCAAAATTTATACAGAAAAAAAAAAATACGAGATCTTCTCCAGATTATTGTAGCAATATGCAGTTTGAACAATAACCTAACAAGTTCTTTACCTGTTGTTTCAATAACAATATGATCAAACTTCCCCTTCTTCTTGTTCACCAATTCACCAATCATACGGACTAAATCACCACGCACCGTGCAGCAAAGGCAGCCGTTATTTAGCATCATTATGTCCTCAGCTCCAGCAGTTTGTGCAGCGACTAATGAACCATCAATGTCTACTTCTCCAAACTGCAATGTGAACAATGACAGTAAAAGGTAGACAAGTGGTTCAGCTTCGCCTTGCATATTAGTTAGGCACTCCTAAGTGATGGATAAATCATGAACTAAGTAAATTAAGATGATTTTCTGCATTTCGCAAACTAAGCATGCGTTCAGGAATGAAGAAATAACTGCTGGACAGACACTTACAAAACTAATATAATTGAATTACTGAATGCTTAAGTCCGTTTGGCTGACAAAACCATTAATATGAGCATACCTCATTTTCAATAACAGCAATTCGCTTTCCATGGTGAGCAGTCA